GTATATGTTCACATGTATGATTTCATGCATAAAGGGTTTAAGGATACATACATGGAAGATAGCGTGGACCAAACGGATTCGGCACAAACAACATCTCTAGCAAATAAATTTTTACTTTTTTTAACGATGAAAGAGATAGCCGTATTTTTGATATCACGATTTGTGTGACAATTGTGTATTTCATTTCACGAAGTTGGAACGTGCGCGAATATGTCGTGAATCTAACATATATATGTATTAGAGTGTCGCCTTTAGAAATCCATTTAATGTGATTAGAATAAATGAGAAAAAGAGATATATGAAGCAAATACACACACATTGCTAAATTTTCTTATGTTACTGTAATAATTGATAAACATAATGAATAAAATATTTCGTCTCTTTCTTTCGTACACATATTCTTTTTGTTATTTTTTCCGTTATATATATACATATATATGCATATATATGCATGCTTCTCTTCTCTTTTTTTCTTTTTTTTCTTATACATTACATTAAAATATAACACCAATCTCGAGACTTATGTTGTACATATACATGTGTGTAGATTTTACAATTATATGCTCGCGTCCAGACAGTCTCATTGTGAGAAAACGGGTTTATTAGAAGAATTCCGAATTCAAGATTATGTATTCTTGCACTTATTCACTTAATTGACAATATATTTAAGCGCAGTCGCTTGACAAACGCGGTCGATAAGACGCTACGAGAAGCATTAAAGACAAAAATAAAATTACCATTGTAATCTCTTGCGAAATATAAAATATAATACACATTTACGCGCGTAAATAATATAAAACAAAATTAATTAACGTTATTCGAGGAAAATATATTTTGAGAAAAATTTTTTATACAATTTATAGATATATATATATATTATATATAATATTATATATAGTAGTAATTATATAGTTATACGTATAGTAGAAATATACAGGATACCCAGCGAATTGCTGATATATAGTTAGATTCCTGACGTCATTTGGAGACAATTTTTCATGTGTGAAAATATCGAAGCACCAATAATTTTCAAGTTATAAGCGATTGAAAATAAAGAGCTTTTCTGTAAATTAAGTCTTGTAAAAATAAAATATAAACAAAATCACATTCTTCAATTAATTTCAGGTGGAGTTTGCTTTAATAGAATTTTAATTTAAGGCTTAGTTACAAAGATACACGATGGCAAAAATTGGGAATTTGCAAAAAATGATGACTTTCCTCTCGACATTATCGTTAAGGAAAAATCATCTCCAAATAGTCAAAAATTTAACTGTATATCAGTGATTCATTGGATGCGGAACACCTTGTACACTACTATAGTAGTATATAATATATTATAGTAGTGTAGTATAGTACTATATAATATACAGTATATTACTATATTATATAGTACTATATTCAAGGTGACCTTATTCTGACCTTGGTAACGCCACCCAAGGTCAAACTTATAATATCAATAAATAAATTTTTTTAAACCCTACAACTTTTGTCTGAAACGTTTTTCTGTAAACCGTATATCTTTCGAGATTTTTCAGTGTTCCGATCTTTTTGGAACATACTATATAATACTATATATACTATATAAAATACGATATTTATTCTATATGGTGTCAAAGTTGTGTAAAAAAAAATTGAAAATTTTGAAAATCTGGAAAACGTTTTCAAAAAAAAATATTTTATTCAAATTTAACACTCATACAGGTGGTATTAAAAAACTATTTTTCAATACCAATAAAACATTTTTAGATCCACATCTAAAAGGGCCGTATGGATAATCACATTAAGTTTTTTTAATGAAAAACTAGTACACTAATGCTTTTTCCAAATTTAATAGTTCTTTTAAAATCCTAAAATTGAAACGCTAAAAATTGTATTTTTTCTCTTATATTTCTTTTAAACGATGAACCGCTTTCGAGTTAAAGTAAAAAAATTAAAATTAAAAACTTTAAATATAATCTGTACATTAATAAGCTTTATTCTGTTTGGTATTTTAAAGATTCAAAAAGTTCGATGCCTAGTAAACTATGCCCCTTCCACTTCCATATTTTTTATATTTTTTTCACAATTTTTTGACACCCTGTATTTTGAAAACAAAGCAATTTAATACATATGTTTATAGAATTTTATCTTCTTAAAATAAGCTAAGAAAGAGAGATTAAAGAAAAGAAGATAAGAAATTCCCTTAATTTTTTGTACATATTTAAAAAACACCCTATTTATATACTATGTTACACTTTATATATTAAAAATCAATGATCATAAAAATTATCTATTATAAAAACAAAGTCGTTCTCGCTATCGTCTTATCGACTTATGATCCTTAAATTTGTCCGATGTGCATAATGCTTTTATATATTTTGCTGTCTTAGAAAATCTCGACGAAAAATAAATTGTTTCAGCTGAAACCAAATCTTCATTAGAAGCGCGGTTTGGTGACCGCGCACAATTTACATATAACAATTTTATTAATCGGCAGCTGCGTTTAAGAGACGTTTTAGTATTTCGTGTATTACTTTAAAGTTCTCTTTAAAGTAAGTAGAGAATCACGAAAACGTGAGAGCGCACATGTGATATTTTTTAGTACGAGAATAAAAAGAAAAAAAGAACATCGGTAAACAATCAAACATCGGTTAGTTTTTTCACAGCCATAGTTAGGAGACTCGATTTTGATCATTATGGACCCTCCTGTGCGATTCTTTGGAACTTGGACCGTGAACGCGTGTCATTTGCAGCAATATAACGTCAAACTCGGAAGTCTTCCAGAGATAAAATCGCGCGATTGGTCGAAAATATTATATTCTAGAATTCATATTTAGGGTACAAGTATAGCGTAAACAATTGTTTTTTTCTTTAGACAATTATAACGGTAAAAATGGACATTGTCTTATTGCGGGATGGAATAGGCTGTGTAAGCTCTGTCAATGCTCCACTGCAGCTTTTCATTTTATAACATTATATTTTCCTGATAATATAATAATCATTTCACGTTAACTCCTTATAAGGCTAAAAAGAAAATCTTAATTCTTTGACATGTTATGTGCTCTGTTTTTCAATTTCCATTTAATTCATTATATTTTTTCAGATGTCTTCTTTTTTTCTGCGATATGTGTGATCGTGTATGTATGTATGTATGTATGTGTTGTGGGACAAAACAATACTACTTTTGGGTATGCTTATAAAAGATTCGTAAAACATAATTCAACAATAATTTCTGTATAAGATACACAATGAAAATCGTACATGACTTCATTAAAGATTTCGAATTACTTCGCGCTATCCTTCAAATAGGGAAGAAACACTTTTTTTTTTTGCAAGTGACATACGAATTCCAGTGCGTCCAAAGCAATGTAAATGTTGATTTCAATGTGACAATGTAAAAATTGAGAATGTGTGTAGAGGGATATAATAAAAAAAATAATTTATTAATTATTACATGCATGCTGGGCAAGCATTAGCATCATATTCTGACACGTGGAGTCTTATAATTTGCGTTTTCTTCCTCAACAATATCGATTACCAAAAAATGGACAGATGCCTTGCGAGGTTACAAGGTTTTCCTTTTCGTGGAGATAATTATCACTTATATAAAAACCGAATAATATTGATCTATCACGATAGGGAAACGTTGCACCGTGCGCGTGGCGATTATTATTATATTCAATAAATATTACATACAGTAATATATGTATATTTTCATTATTGATATCATAAGTATTGTTCTAATTGGACAGAGGGGTTGTTTTGTTTTTTTTCTTCACAATTTTTGGGCAAAAATTACCAAGTAATCTTAGTCGTTAATTGCTTATTTTTTTATCCTTTTCCTCGTATTCCTTTTTTATGACATAATTAATCTAATTAAGAGGGAATTAAGAGGGAAATCGAAAGTTTTTGGTTTTCATCGATTTTTGAGTCGTGATTATGTATAATAGAGCTTTTTGAAATAAAGCCAAGTTTAAAGTTAATTCTCAAAATAAAAATAATTGTTATTCGATAAAGAATTATTGTTAAAGAGAAATATGAAATATACGTGTAGATTATTTGCCAATAATGTTTATGCTATCGTGTCCATAGACAAAGTGTGACGATAACGTCAGCCGGATTAATCCGGACGTTCGTCAAAAAATTTGAATGAATATACATAGCTATGCAATTAATACAATAAAAGCAAGCTCATTTATATACATAGTTTTCTTTCTACTACCTAAACCTAATATTGCGACTCGACGTTGACAACTTGGACGTTGTATCTTTGGACATTTGCAACTTGTCACTTAAATCGATTAACACATTACAGCATTTAAGGATCAATTTGCAATTTCCAAAAATGCAATTATGCATTTAGAATATATATAAATTAAGGTGCGTCGTATTCGTGTGTAAAGAGTAATAATGATGAGAAAAAGAGATGTATGTTACAATAAAAAGGAACTTAACATACATATACATAATCGCGCTAAAAAAATACAATATATATGAAACAATTGTATACATATAAAATCTTTAAATAATCTACACAACACGGTAAAATATATGTAAAGTGTCTTTTGACATTTTTTATCCCTTTCCATTGGGCACTTTTCCGGTAGCGTATAAATTACCGTATGGTAATTTCGGAAAGTGCATGATCCAATGACGTGATGCGTGAAAAAGCCAATATATATTTGAATCGGTTTTATCATTTTATCGTATTCATTATGTCAACATGGACCGATTTCATAAATGCAAAGTATGTACTGTTACATGGAATATGTACATGAAATTGTAGTCGTATCACATATCTCAGATTGACATATGGGTGAGTAAAAGAAAAAAAAACGCGCATGCGCGTTGACTTTTGATTCTTTTAAAATGTACAATTAAATCGCACGCAATTATTGTTTCCTTCCTCGAAAACAAACCCATCTTTTAATCGTGATTAAAAGAAAAATGCTCGTGGAATGCTCGTCAAATCAATCAAAATCATTTTTTGCTGACTTTCGATACATTGCGACGATTATGTATCGGACCCACTATCTTCGAAAGTAGATATAGATACATATTATTTACGCAGCATGAATTCTGAGTAGAACAACGACCCACACGTTTCGTGTGTGTGTGTGTGAGATGATCATATAACACATTAATGATCTAATATTTTCAAGTATATTACTTTGAGAATAATCAATAGAGCTGCCCCCTAAATGTCTAAAGGACTGAAACATTGCTGCTACACATATCATAGGCATGCAGCAATTAGGATACTTATGTAGTGGCTGTTTTTACCAACACGAAGTAATGTTGAAGCTATGTACGATTCGTTTACTTGCCGCGTGAAAAAGGACGTAGTGTACCTGCTGTAGAGAGGCCTTCACCTCGGCTGCGACTTCGGTGCAAGGAATGTAAGCCTTCTCCTATTTAACAATAAACAATATTTTTCCAATAAACATCGCGATGAATATGCATATTAGAGGACTCACCTCCAATAGTCTTGACCTTGACGTATGTTGTCAAGATTATAACTTTGTCAAGATTATGATCTTGTAAAAATCATAACCTCTTGATATAATCCTAATTAATATCTTAGAGATTTTATGTGACAACATATGTCAAGCTCAAGATGTGATCAAGAATATCAATATCATTTTAACAGTAATGTATATTAATGCAATAAAATAATCAAAGCTAAACCTTACCCTTGCTAACGCTTCTACGCATTAACGAGGATGGTGCTGGTGCAGATTCTTGCTTGCTATAACTTCTAAGCGCTCGTCCCCGTCTATCTTGAATTAGTTTATCCACTTTAACAAATATACCGCATTTTGGTCTACAGGTAAAATATTTATGACCATTAACAGCACCATCATTCTTGCCTGGAACATTATAGGAGACATAGTTTGTTATGATCAATAATTATTAAACCAATAAAATTAATTAATAAAATTATTGTAAGAAAATAGTATTTCGTATTCGCACCAGTTGGAGCATCAAGCTCAACTCCTATCCAAGTTCCAGATGCAAACTCTGTAAAGCCAACATATGCTATGACTCCAGAATAACTGTATGGGCGAACCAAAACTGATTCACCAACGACGACCCAATCTGGTAAAAGAGGTTCCATTCGAGTTAAATCGTGTCTTGAACCAAAAGCTGAACTTTTGTCGCTGATATCATCTGCTGTAAAAAGAATCTTTTTAAATATATGAAATTTTTCATATATATATATATATATATACATAAATTACAAGGAGAAAAAGAAATAAGAAGAAACCCACGTGCAATAATGCACAATTTAAAAATTAAAACAACGAAGATAAATTGTTTGAATTAGTAGTACCATCGATTCTCTCTGAAGAACTATTGTCGCCATTTTCATATGGCATATTAGGTTGTAGTGTTTGTTCCAAGCGTGCTGCAGCCTTACTCTCGGAAAGTTGTGGACGGACCATAGGAAACGAAGCTCTATGTTGTGAACTTGTAGGCCTTCCTGTACCGCTAGAAGTCTTTTTCTTCGCACAACCTAGACGAAATTAAGAAATTATTAAACCCCTTTTTAAGTGGCTATTTAGGTTTCTATTAAGTTTGCCTCTATACTTGTTAATCACTCTCTCTTTCTTTCTTAGGATCATTAATATCATAATATAATACAAGATACAGAGTGCTTTCCAACAACGAAATACAGTCGTGCATAGACATGTTACACAGAGTCCACTTTTAGTTAGAACACTACTTAGCTTATTAATTTCGTTGCTAGAGTGGACACTTCATATAGCTTTCTCACAGTTTAAATTTCTTTAAAAGTTTATCTTTTACCATTAGAATTGAACAGCATAATTTATTCACCTTGCCGGGTGGCAGTTTGGTATGTACGACCGAGGTTCCCTCCGTGGAACTATCATCTCCCGAATTAAATGTCTGACTGATTTCCATCGTGCTTTTCCTCCTATCATCGAAAATCTGATCATGTGTACTTTTTTTTCGAGTCTTGTTGCTATTAGTTTCACCTTCGCTCTTTGTAGAAGAAACTGGACTATCGATGTCAGTATCCACATATGCTCCTGTCTCTTCCAGATCTTTTCTAGTATATTCTAAAAGATAAAATAGAAAAGTTAAAATACATTTATAATGTAGAAAACAATTTGGATGTCTGAAATAAACAACTGACCTTCTGTGCGAGAGCTCTGGGAGATATCAAAATTATCCAATGCAGAGTTTATCTCGCCTAAGTATTCCTCGGGCGTTTCTTCAACGAGGGAACTATCCATTTTCTCGGGTTTCTTGCTATCAACAGGATTACGATACTCGAGATCCGGAGTCTCGTCCACGCTGATAGATTTGATGGAAATGGAATCTTCTGACGTTAGGTTTGTCGTGGAGACAGCCTGAGAACCATAACCGCTACTACTCATACTTGGCGTGTTGATCTTGGTCGATTGTAGCTCGACTAGAGAGTCCAGTGTGCGTGAAGAAGTTAACGGCTTTGTCGGTTTTGGTGGAGCCTGAGCATAATTATACAATTTTGATTGGATAGTATTGTTAGTAGTATTGGATCGTATATTATACCGCAAAATAGCTGATAATCTGCTGGTATATCAACGAATAATAAGTATTATATAACATAATATATGTATATATAATATATGCTACTTAAATGCTATATAAGTATATATTATATATAATATAATATATACAGGATGTAACTAAGAAAGGGTACACGAAGCACATCAGGTGCAGAACAACAAACTAAATCAAAAAGTCAGCCATTTGGCAAAAGTCTGAGCCATTTTTTAATCTAAGCTTTATTTTTGACGCTATAAATTGTTCAAGTTTGCCAATTAGCGCATGGTTACAATGGAAAATAGCGTAGACCCCGTCTTAGTAAACCTTAGTACCGCCTACTTGGCAAATTTTAACAATTTTAGTTTAAGATTTACACTTTATTAATTGTTTTATATTTTAATATTTGATTTATTAGGATATGTATACGTTACCTGATATGCCTCATATTCGGAGTAATCGGCATCGCTTTTCTCCTCGTCATCGTCATTGATAGGAGTAAATGCCTGGTTTCCAATATTTGACGTTTCCTCATGCAACGTGGTCATACGGGGACCCAGTTTGCTACTGACTATATTTGGAGATGCTATAAAACAACACAATTAAAATCGATAAGACATGATTGACAGTAAGAAATATATATGTATAAATTTTTTTAGTACAAGCATGTATTGCTAAACATCAGGGCCGATCTGGCCACTGTATATAACTTTTTAATTTTAATTATATTATTTCTACAAAATAATTAATTTCATATTTACAATACATACGTATATGTTGTATTCTTATTTTTACAAATATTGACGGATACTGATGGGTTTATGAATTACGAAAAAAACGTTATATTAAAGAAGGTGCCAGGTCGGTTCTGATATACATATATAAATACAAAAAATCGTCCATGCACTTCCAAAACATAACAGAAAAACAATCTTACATATTCTACGCTTTTTTATGTTCTTTGACATTAATAATTTATTTATATCAATTACCTAGATACTTTTTTTAAGTTTTGCAGATTTGTTAACTTTTGTTTTAAATAATTTATATTAAGCAATTAAAAAAACGTAGAATATGTAATCTAAAATAAAGAAATAAACCACAAAAGGTAATTCTGTAAACAATAAAAGTTCAAAATATAATACTACACTTTTAGTGCAGTAATAAACGATGATTTAATGGTGACTTCACACAAACCATCTAAAATAAAACACCTAAAATAAACGAAAATTCCAATCATTACTCTTTCTAATGTATTATACTAATATTCAATGATTAAACTCAAAAAATCGACTACACTATAAATACCGACTACACTAAAAATGACCGAGTTCATCCTTTCAAACTTCTATTGCTAGAATATTTTTTTGAGAGAATTGATATTATTTTAATTCAACTTTCTCTCTCAATAAGTACGTTTCTACAATAGAGATCAGTTGTGAAGACATGAGTTTGAAAGGATGATCGACAACGAGTGTCACCTACACTTGGCAGAGGTAGACTGTTGAAGACGTGTCAATGAGTTGAGATTCAGGTTCAGATTCAGGAAAGTTGGTCTCGCTGAAAGGAGACAGATATATACTGATTATCCTCGTTTTCCTTTCTACCTGAAGTTAGTTAATACTACGTTCCTCTTTAATTCATAATGGCGAGCTTTCATAGACTTTCTTACATGATTTTTTATAGAACATTTTTACAAACTTATATATATATATATATATATATATATATATATATATCACAAATCATGCCTGCAAGACATTGGATAGAGAACCAAGTAGACAGATATAACGTATACATTATCTATATACGGAAGTTCCAGGAAATGGATGCTCATCACAATCCTATTAATTTAATAAACATCAATTTTTATAACGCAACATCTTTCATACCCATTTTTCATTTTTTCCATTTGTGATATGTTCTATTTTAGTAAAAATTTCAACAACTCGCCATTGCATTTGCAAATTCAAGATGCACGTGTTCGAAATATGTCTACATGTATGTATACATACGCTATTTTTATAATAGTAGATAAATAATAAATAAATAAAAAAATATATAAACATCTTACATATACACATACACACATAATTCAATGACGTGCATAATGAATTTAAGATCTAGTTTTCAGAGATGATTAGTTTAAAGTCGAAGAAAATGATGTACTTCTGTTTTTAGTGTTACTGTAACAAATTATATTATTATTTAGAATTTTAATATATTATATATATATATGTACTTTATACTATTTTACATTAGATATAAACTAATTATATATATATACAAAATAACTATATGATTCAATAACACAAACATGCTGCACTATATTTGAATTGTGATACCATGCATAACTAAGGTTTAATCTTTCAGCTTTTTCATTTATTTTTAACTATATACAGTTTATTTCACATTTATAAAAATATATTCCTGACTTTAAACTGAATCTCTTTTCATAAATCAGACAAGAAGGAGATATTTGTCATGTTTGTTATTATATAATATAATATTTCGAAAATAATGAAAATAACTTTTAGACAAATTTTCAATCTCCATATCTTGCTTACATATAAAAGATTTATTCTATCACTTTATTCCGTTCGATCTTTTTGTTTCTATTTTCATATTAAATTAAACTATAAAAATAAACAATACAAAGTGTCGCATTTTAATCAATCACCCCAAAAACTATTTTTTATTGTACAACAAAATTAGTTTCAAATAAGTAAAGGTTGTTTAATTTAAAGGGGTATGGAAGACGGCGCTGCTGATTTCTTTCTAAATGGTGCTTTTCAAGGTAATTTGAAGATTATTTGTTTTTTTAAATGAAACCACTACATTTTTGTAAAATAAATCGATTCTGTATAATTTCCAGCATAAAAATTATGCAGGTAAAAGCCAAAAATAAACAGTTTACAAGATATTTTATATGTATACATTTTGATACTAATTTTACGTAAACTGTAATATATCTCAAAATATTTAATGTTTGACGATCTTACTTCAATATTTTTATTAAAAAAACTTTTTTTTTAAACAACAATGTATTTTCTTTGCATTAATTCCTTTCATTATTTTATGCATAAAAGTTTTATTAAGATAAGATAAAAAAATAAATATTGTGCAACCGACGCGCGGAAAGTCGCCCTTTACGCACATGATGGGATTTTAGAAAGGGCTCCCTTTCCACGCACCGGTCACACAAAATATCGTAGCCAACATGTGCGGGTCGTAAATCAGCCGATCGTGCGAATTGTCACACTCGGCTTCGCCTCGTCCGCCAAACTTCCGGCCGATTTACGATCCCCCGCATTTGTTAGCTAATATACTATTTTACTAGATGTTTCATAGTTTATGTAAGATTATGTTAAACTAAAGTATAATATATCTCGTAAATTATTTACTTTTTGGTCTTCTTACAACTTTTTGTAGTAAATATTGCAAAAAATCGATTTATTTTATAAAAAAATGGTAATTTCCGGTAAATTTTTTTTATATATAATCATATATAATATAAAATTATATAAAAATATATAAAATTATGCATAAGCTATTATATAATTATATATATTTGATTACTTTGTATATAATTTCATATAATGCTGATTGACACTAATATACAAGGTGTCCGGTAACTAACGGACCAATGATTAAGGGCGGATTCTCTGGCCAATTTGGAGACGATTTTTCCTTAGCAAAAATGTTGAAAAGTCAATAATTTTCGAGTTATAAGCGATTGAAAAAAATGGGTTTTTTTAAAACTAAACGTTTTGGAGTTAAAAGTCTAACATAATTACATTCTTCAGTTAATTTCAGGTAGAGTTTACTATAATAAAATTTTAATTTGAGGCTTAGTTATAAAGATACATAATGACAAATATTGGAAAGTTGTAAACAATGATGACCTTTTTCGACATTTTTGCTGAGAAAAAATCGTTTCCAAATTGACCAAAGAATCCACTTGTAATCGTTGGTCCGTTAGTTACCGGACACCCTGTATATGTATATAATTATGCATATAACGAATAGATATTTCTTTATGTAGTGTTTTATATACAATCTAACATGATTATATATAAACTCTCATAATTTATATCTAAATTTATATAAGTATATATAAAAAGCATTTATGCTAGTTTGTTCGCTTACCGCTATATGACGCATATACATGCCCTATCTCGTATTTAAATTTTATTTTGAATATTATATATATATATATATATATATATATATATATGTATATATAATATATATGTAGTTTACAAAAAGTGACTAATATTAGCTAACAAGTGCGGGGGATCGTAAATCGTGCGGATTGTCACACTCGGCTTCGCCTCGTGCGCCAAACTTCCGCACTCTCAATCGATTTATGACCCGCACATGTTGGCTACGATATTTTGTGTGACCGGTGCGTGGAAAGGAAGCCCTTTCTAAAATTCCATCATGTGCGGGAAGGGCGACTTTTCGCGCGCTGGTTGCACAAAATATATTAAAGATTTAATTATACCTATTAGTTTGATTTTAATATGAGAAATCAAACTGATAGAAGTTCAAACATTAATAAATATATTCAAATAAGTACAAAAAATGCATAATTAAAATGTTACAGTAATATGCATATGGGATATAATTATATCTAATTATATACAATTGTAACTAATTATATATAGACATATTTCATATATAGTTATGTATAGTTATATATTATATCATTTACATATGATCATATATAAAAAATTTTGTACCGGGTTTCATTTAAAAAAACATAAATGACTGAAATCGAAAGCGCCCTTTAGAAAAAAATCAGCAGCGCCATCTTCTATCTCCTTTTTTAAATCAAAACTTTTATTCTATTTATTTTAAGTTAGAAACATTTTGTGCTACAATCAAAAATAAAAAAGTTTTTGAGGGTGATCGATTAAAATGGGACATCCTGTATATTAATTACATTATAAAAATAAAATGCAAATGATATTGAACAGCATCAATTTGCGTTTAGACACAGAATAATCCTCATTTTTAATATGTATACTAATTATAGAAAATATTTACTTATATATTATATTTTACAATAAACTTTCTTTTCTGTCTAGAGCATTTATTGCTCATATAACAGCATATTCACAAGTTTGTATATATTTTAGATGTATGATATAAAGATTGATACATTGCAGATTTCTTCATACATCTAATGCAACATTTCAATCGTGTTGATTATTTTGAACGTTTTATATAATAAATTAATTTGTTAAATGCAACCAAATTTTGTTCTCAACTAGTACATTTAACAAATTATCAGGGATATCATTATAGAAATCATCTTGATTCATCAAAATGTTTGTAAAAGACAAGAGATTTTCCAGAATCATATCGAATTGTAAATTATGATAATAGATATATATGAAAATATGAAAATGATTTCTATGTGATGACTTTTGATCACAAACGGTGTGATGCATGTGCATATATATATGCGTATACACATATACACACACACATACAGAGCTTGCTTGCTAATATAATTTTACATTTTAACAAACAAAAATGAACAATAGCGTATAAAAAGTGTATCAATAATTCAATCAACCATATAAAATGTAAGAAAAGCAAAAAAAAAAATTCAATAAACAAATTATGTTGATATATGCTGGACTGCACACAAGAAATGCCATTCGCATGCAAACTATAAGCAGGGGAGAAAAGAGCTGAAACAATAATATATCGACGCAATAAAATTGCATTTAATTAAAACAAAAACAAACGTCAAAAGACAATCTCCTCGGTTTACGGTAAAACGCTAAACTCCTTCTTGAGTCAACTAAACAATCGAACAAATGACACTTACGGAAACATGTATACTCAACGTCATAAAAAAATGCATTCTTATTCTGAACATTACTAAATATAGTACAAATATAATGTCTCTGATATATATATTACTATAAAGGCGAACTTTGAAATAAAAATAAGACAGACAGACTCAACCACTCACGAGACATATGTACTAATTGTCATTGCCAATAAATGGCAATCAATTAAATATCAAAATCAAGACTCCATTTTACCTGAGTTGAGAATGGAGCCTTGCGTGGGCCGAAATAGTTGTAGAAGTAGTAGACGTAGAGTTAAACAGAGGAACAGATTAGTTGCATACATTATAAATCAGTTAACATTCATTAATTTTGTTTTGTAGAATTCATTAATCGAAGTTTGTTGGTGTTTTATTTATTGTAATAAGTGGTGGAGCACGCTTAAATGTATAGCTGCTAAAACACTAGGCAAATTTTGGGAGAGTAAATTTTACCAAGCTCAACTATATTTTTGTTATCAAGTAAATATTCTTAAAATTATTTTGATTTTGATACTAATATACAAGATATCCTATTTTAATCGATTACTCCTTAAAACTTTTCATTTTTGACTGTACAATAAAATGTTTTAGACAAAAGTTGTTTAATTTAAAGGAAGATAAAAGATGACGCTACTAATATTTTTCTGAAGGGCGCTTTTCAAGGTCGTTTTCTTAAATGGAACCATTATATTGATGTAATATAAATCGATTTCTCGTAATTTTCGGCATAGAAAGTTATAAGGATAAGATGACCAAAAATAAATAGTTTACGAGATATTTTATACTTAAGTTTGACATAATTTTACATACACTATGAAATATCTCGTAAAATATTTATTGTTCGACGATCGTACCTCAATACTTTTATGCCTAAAATAATGAAAGAAATATATTGATGAAAAGAAAACACATAATTATGTGTAAGAAAATGTATATGTATATAGCTGCTAGTTACAAATTACATACTTTTTCTTATAAATAACTATATAAAAATCTATATAATTATTTATTTTTTGACCATCTTACTCTTTTATAACTTTATGCCGAAAAAAACGAGGAATCGATTTATATTACAAAAATATGGTGGTTCCATGTAAGTAAACATAAATGACCTTCAAATGATCTTGAAAAGCGTCCACCAGAAAAGAGTTCACCAGCATAAGTAACGCCATCTTCTCCCCCTTCAAATCAAATAACTTTCACTTAAAACATTTTGTTATACAAAAAGTTTTTGGAATAATGATTAAAAAAGGGGACACCCTGTTATATAGTATAATATATATATATATATATATAATATAATATAACATTATACATATGTATATATATATATGGGACGTTTCTCGTCAAGTGGGACAAGTGTCTGAGCAACATTTATTAAGTCGAAATAAAATGTTCGAGAGTTTAAAATTTTCACTAAGAAAGATATGATTCGCTGTACGAATCTACCGCAGATGTACGTGCGCAAAGACGACGAAAATTTAATTTTTCGCCGTCATATGCTTATTGAGGGACAATCTCGTATTCGAGATCTGAATATCTGAATTCTTCGGTTTCCTTTACTCCCCTAGAGTGATGTAGACGAGAAAAATTTTTTTGAACCGATATATTTTTCTCGTCTACATCACTCTAGGGGGATAAAGGAAATCGAAAAATTCAGATCTCGAATACGAGATTGTTCCTCAATAAGCATATGACGGCGAAAAATTAAATTTTTGTCCATCTCCGGTAGGCTCAGAAATTTTCTCATTGGATCATCGGTTACATTCCTACATCCGACTGCGACATACGACTTATTGTAGACCAGACTTTATCGCCGTTCTACAATGTAGTGTCGTAGACCGTAATCGTAAGAAATTGACAAACCACAATCGATTATTTCAAAATAATCAATTGTGATAAGTCAATTTCCTACGACTACCACCTACGATACTCCATTTAGAACGGCCTTTAAAGGCGGTAGTCGTAAGAAATTGACCTATTACAATTGATTATTTTTGAAATAATCGACTGTGGTTTGTCAATTTCTTACGACTATGGCCTACGACACTACATTGTGGAACGGCCATTAAAGGGCCTTCTACAATGGAGTGTCGTAGGCTGTAGTCGTAAGAAATTGACAAACCACAGTCGATTATTTCAAAAATAATCGATTGTGATAGGTCAATTTCTTACGACTACGGCCTACGACACTACATTGTAGAATGGCTATATAAGACAATCTTAAATATAAGATCGAATTATTAATACCGGCCTACGAATTTATAAGCGACATGAAAAACCCCCAAGTACCGATTTTCATGAAAATTGAATGAATTTTGGACCACCTGATCAATAAATTTTCGATCAGTTCTTCATTTAAAAAAAAACTTTAGCCGTTATATTATAGCGATTATTTTCAATTTTTCAAAAGGCCACGTGTTTTCGAACATCTTATTTTGACTTAATAAATTTTACCCAGAAACTTGTCCCATTTAACGTGGAACATCACATATACATATACGTATATAGTATTAAAACTACACTATACATATATATATAGTATATTCTATAATAAAATCGTAAATTACCAAGTTGAGCATAGCAATATGACATAACAATACGACAGAAGCTAGAATTATAATAAAAAAATTCAGCATAGTGTGGTTATATTAATAATGAAATTGAAGTTATATACCAAATATTTTCAAGTGAGCTTAATCAATTATCTTAGATGATAGCAGTAAGCCCTTTAAAGTGTGTCATTAATACTTCATACAATATTTATATTTTGTTTTATATTTTTTTATAAATTACGTTAAAAAACAATTGTTTTTTTTAATTTGTACAAATTTTATAGAATAATTGATAAAAAAAAATTATGCCTTTACAAGCAATTCTTCTATTTAACCAATAGAATAGAAATTCGCAGACACACATATAAAGAGTACACTAATGGTGAATGATATGAATTTCAAAAAAGTAGAATGCTCTTTTTATGATCATGAAATTAACATCCCGAGTGGAGCTTGAGACAATCGAAACTAGTAGTAGGGAAAATATAAACCGTCATAGCCAAAGTGAAATATCGAAAACACTGCATAAGCCACATTTCAGAAACAAATTATTGATTTTTGATTGAATATATCTCATAAAAGCAAATTAATGCAATGGAAAGTGATTTCAACATAAAAAGAAATTTAATCTAAAACTAAAGTTCTTATATAAAAAAAAGGACACGATGCTATTGTAAATTTATTTAAGCATTAAATTAAAAATTTTAATAGTAACTTAAGCGAACTAAATATTGCATTCAATATACGATGAATTTGCATAAATACTTGTGATCTATAGTAAAATTATATGTTGAAACTTATCGATTCTTTGTGTCAGAAGTAATCCATCTCTAAGTTCAACAACATTTTTACCTTAATTAAGAGCATTTTTTTATAAAAATTAATTTTTTTAATGTTATACTTATATGGATACCCTGAAAATATCTATATCTATATCTTAACATGAAATGGATTACTACGGATGATTATGAATGATGATGCATGAATGAATAAACACATGGATGAACAGAGCTTGTATATTACGATATCTATATATATGATCTTTCTCTTTCTATGATTTCATAAACGATCCTGCTTTACAAGCACAACATATTATAAAAGCTGTATAAAAAAATACTTTTAATATTTTGCACTTAATAATGACAGCATAAATCTAATAATTCAAGATATAATATATATATATATAATATATATATATATATATATATATATATATATATATATATAGAAAGAGATATGCATACACAAAATTAAGAAATCATAGAATATGTATCTATCTCTCTAGTCGTTTATGTGACTCTGACAGTAATAATATTGAATGAATAAAAAATATATGCTTACCAATTCCAAACGTCTTTGGTGGTGCAGATATGAAATTATTTTCGTCATTTCTCACGTGACCTATGGACGCGCGTCGCGGATGTGGGAGACCATTTATTTCCGAATTAAGATCTGTTACGCTTTCTGAACGAGTAACATTCAACGAGTCCATCGATGTATCGAATCTCATAATCTGGAAAATCCATGAAAATCTCTCTTTATTAAATAAATATGCTCAATCGTAGCGACTTAAAATTTTAAGGGTGTGTTTGTTATGAAAAGACCTGTCAAATGAGCCCCCAATTTTAAATTAGACCCTTAGTCCAATTTAAAATTTTCAACCCCCCTTTTATCCCTGCGTACCAGGGAGATGATCGGTATCCATGTTAGGATAGCTTTTTTGAAAAATCAAAATACATGTTTTACCGCGTTTTTTGATATTTTCATTTTTACAAAAATTATTTAGGGGTTTCCACACTTTTCACAAACCCTGTGTGTGCATATATATATATATATATATCGCGAATCACCTTTCATGGGCACACTGTAAAAAAATATGTAATATATTACACAAAAATATGTAAAATTACATAAATAATAAGTGTAAAATTACACGATAAATAATAGAAATGATTACCTTTTCATTATTTATCATGTAATTTTACATTTATTATTTATGTAATTTTACATATTTTTAATGTAATTTTACAAAATTTTTTACAGTGCAGATAGAGCGTGTTAAACTGAATAGAAAAGTCCTGTATCATTTTGCGATATTCGCAATAATTATTGAGTTATTAACTAAAATATCTAAACAAATGAGCGGGTAGAAAGCGGTAGGCCGGACTCGGTGTGCACTTATTTGTTATATGCCACTTAGTATCAAAAATATCATCTTACTTTTCGGCGCCACTACATTGGTCGCCGCTCGCTGCATGACGCCGCCTCTCGATCAAATAATGCTTTCTACCTGCTTATTCGTTTAGATATTTTAATAAATAACTCAATAATTATTGCAAATATCGCAAAATGATACATGAATTTTCTATTCAGTTTAACACGCTCTATCTGCCCATAAAAGGTGATTCGCGAATTATGGGACACCCTGTATATGTATATATATATACAGGGTTTGTGAAAAGTGTGGAAACCCCTAAATAATTTTTGTAAAAATATGTATATATATATATGTATATACACATATATATATACATATTTTCACAAAAATTATTTAGGGGTTATATATATATATATATATAGGTTATGTAATTATTTCACATTAAAGAACAAAATATCTCGTAAACTACGTAACTTTTTGACTATCCTACCCATAACTTTTTTTGCCAAATATTGTAAGGAATCGGTTTAAAATTAAGATGATTCCATTTTAAAAATGGTTGACCTTCAAATAACCTTGAAAAATAATCTTAGTTAAAACTCAAGATTGTCAACTTTTTTCCCTCTCAAAACCTTTTTATATATGAAATATTTTCTCGTTACAGATATAGTTCAGCAATATTCGAGTATATTAATTAAAATAAAAAATCCTTGAATGATATAATTTCAACATTCAAGATGTCTAAAAGATAGTACCTGCGAGAAGTTTGGAACACTTGCAGTTTTACGCATCAATGGTTGCCCTTGTGCTTGTAACAGTTCCTTTACAGCGACACTTTGTCGTAATCGGTCCAACGTTAATATACTTTCGACAGCTGAGACACCGCGAGTATATTTTTCTATAGAGGTGCAAGTAATAAATAAAGACAATGATTAATATCTTTAGAATCTTCAAAACACTTGGAATAATTTTGCGAATTTTTAATTCTCACCTATGTAAGTTTCTCCGTCGCATAAACTATTATCTTCTCCGCTAGCCGCGATTTGCGCCAAGCTCTCACGATCTTCTAGCTCTTCGCTCGCTTTTGGTATGTTCGAAACTACCTCATAAGTGACGCCGGTTTGCATTAAGAAGTCAGTTCGTACGATTCTCTTGAAAATTCTATCCGTGATGCTCTGCCTCTTGTATATGTTTAAAGCTAACCTTTTGCGCAGCACAAGGTCCATCGGTGCTGGATGCGACAAGCGAACGGTGGTCTTCAGGATTAGAAACACCCTTTCATTAGCTGAAAAAAGCGAGAAATCGTTGCAAATAGATCGCTAGTTTAATCGCTATAGAATGAAGAATGTGGCAAAAACTAATAAGTACCATCAGTCACTCTGTTAAGATGCACGTTGTCGTGTATACTAGAATCCCAAGCGGCGATGGCACATACGTCTTTCTCTAAATGTCGAATTATCGGTAAATTATAAAATTTATTTCCGTGTTCTTTAGGTAGAATCGAATTCAATCCTGTCACCGACACTTCCTCTCCCGATTGATGCGTTGAGAGATCATCAGCTGTTTTTTTTTTTTTTTTTTTTTTTTTCGAAACAAACATTAGTAAATCAAACAAAGAACATTATATGCTAATGTATAATTTGTTTTTGCAATACCGTTGAGATCGAGGAATAATACGGGGATATGAGGTTCCATTCCTGCAGGAGCAATCCAGTCGGCAGGAGCACCGGGAATACCTGAGCCAGCCGCAGGAACTAGAACGGCATTCCGCTCCTCTGTAAGACTAACCCATTGATCGACTAGACTTTGTTCTCGCTCCATGTCTTGTTCCGTTTTGTCTAGAAAATCGAAAAAAGTGTGTATCAGAAAATAAATAAATGATTAAGTGAAATAAAATATTTGTATCTTAGGTACAATACATTTTGCATATTTCCATACCTTGTTTATTGATGAGTTTCTGAATCTGTTGATCAAGATACTGCCGTCTTCTCATTAAAGCGTCGCTCCATTTCTCTCTCAATATACTCAGATCCTCGTCCTGGTAACTATCTAACGGAATTTGCAATCGGTTTCGTACGGATACACTGCCAACGGCTATATTCAATATCGTTTGACAGATAATTGGCAGGGTTCCGGAATTCTGTACCGGTTTGACTCGAACTTGTATCCGACGTTGTTGACCTTGTCGAAGTTGATAAATGCCACCTAAGAAGAAAAAGGAATAAATATTCAATCATAAATAAGTAGAATGATATTCTCTATATATAACATAAAAATGAATTGTGAACATTTCTTCACCTGTACATGTATCTTGCTTTACTGCGACTTCGACGGGGCAATATTCTCCCTGCTCATTCAGTTCCTGTATTTCCACCCATAATTCGATCTTCCTCGTTAATTCTGACCATCGGTCAGCGAGCGATCTGGCTTTCGCCAATTGTTGCTGTTCCACTTCCCATCCAGGCTTACTACGTGAGAAACCTGCACTGCGATGACCCCATACCTCTATACTCAACGCACCCTCTATAAGCATAATAGAGCAAAACAAGTGTCAATAACTATGAAGCAATCGTCTCTATTTCTGTATTAAAAGAATAACAACGCAAAATTTTGTAAATGCAAGACAAAAAAGAATAACGACAAACACAAGAACTGATGATGAATCTCTACCTGCTGCATGTTCCATAAACTCCTCCGTGATTGGTATAGTGAAATCCTTGGTGTGATCAAATTTAAATGCCAACGAGTCTCTCTGTCCAGTGATGCAGTTCGAATTGGGTAGCTCCGCGTTCACCATCGGTGGTACTACTATCGGTTCCGGGTGACCCCAAAACATATATTGGCAAAATACAAAGTGGCTTAACGAGAGTGGTAGACCGGTGGCCTGTTTTATCGTAACGCGACAGGTGATGTGACTGGATCCCCCGGAATAATCCTCAGTTTCGGAAGACGTCGAGTCCGCGGAGGAAGATTCCGAAGCGGCCTCGCAAATCCGATCCTGAGGAAATTGTCCGGATATGCGACTTATCTCGACCTGCAGTCGACCAGCGACTTCCCCTTGCTGACTAATAATCGGAGTGTGATAATCTAATCGTACATCGTGGAACAGCACTTCTAAGAAAATATTCGCGACGCCAATTAGATTGTGATTCTCCTGAGATTCGTAAAACGGATCTTGCGTTTTTCCCGGCAATTCGTCCTGTAGGGAAGAAAAAGAAAGAGGGAGAGAGAAAGAGAAATTTGTACAAGAACAATTTCAAAAATTCAAGGGTCATTCAATAAGTAAAGAGATAAACGTGACTGCAGTTCGAAATAAGAATACCTTGAAAATCACAAGTTGGCATTTCTGTTCATCAATTTAAAACAACTGTTTGACAACTATTTCAGTCATATATTAATTCTAACATTCATTCAACAATAATATGTCACCCTCAAAAAAAATATACTTTTGAAGAATTGTTTGTCTCTTTACTTTTATTGAATGACCATCGTATTTGAAAGAAAATACTTTAAATAATTTCCATTTTAAACGCATGTAATTACCTTAATCGCTGGTAATCGTTGACAATTGTGAGGATCTTTTCGTTCCTCGTACATATCTCGCATATCGACCAGCTTATTTTCCAGTTTTTCCATAGACCATACTTGACTACCTGTATTCGTTCTTTTCACTAAAATTGCAGGCTCACTGACAAACGCGCCCCGCTGAAAGAATACACTCTACATATCGAAGAGTGTGAAAAAGAAAACAAAAAGAAAATAAATTAACAAAAAAAAAATAAAAATAGAGAAATAAAAAGGAAAAGAAAAATCGAAATAAAACAAAGGAAAAGTAACCGTATACAATTAAATAAATCGATAAAAATAGAAACTTATAAAAATAAATAAGTAGTTGTAATTATATAGGATAAATTCTAAATAAATGCGCAAATAGAACTTATTCAAAATTTGAGAAAAGAAATGGAAACCTAATTTTCAGTTTCTTCTTTAGTATAACTCCTCTAAGAGGGATATACGTTTATATGAAAAACCTTTCTTAAATTTCGACAAGAAATCTAAAATTTTCACTTATTTAGAATCATCCTGTATACATTAAAGTAAATATGTTTGTAAAGCAGAAAAAATTGCACACGAATGATGAAAAGAAAAGAGGCAAAACATAATTTATTGTTCTCATTATTTTATACCTTTCTATTTGGACTTAGATTATTCGGGGGAATCTGCAGGGTAACGCTGAATTTTGTCTGTTTGCCCATCTCTTCCGCGAGAAAGTTCGCCTCCTGCACCAACGCATTGGCCTTCAAAATGTCTGTCTTCAGTTGACCTAAACTTCGCTTGAACATCTCGTCCCGCTCCTGCGCCCACTTCTCGACACGCATTTGCGTGGTTGGAGTGCAAGCCGGGAGCTTTCCGCTTTGACTACCTCTCAGAGGATCGTACGGCACATAAGGCGAGTACGGCGTGGAGGGAGACAGTATGTTGCGCAGCTGTTGAAACTGCCTTTCGTATTCCAACCGCTGCTTTTCAAGTGCGACCTTCAACGCAGATACAAATATGCTTTGTTAGCCCGATGCTTATTAAAAGCGACGCGATATAAAATATGTACCTGCTTATCTTCCTCGTGTTGCTTCTCCAGCCTCGCGATCGCCCGCTGAATCGGATCGTTCGACAGTTCATTAAGCATAAGTTCCTCTCTGGCGAAGTTATAATCGATATTCTGAGCGGGAGTTTGCGGTTCGCTATTGATTGCTGTAGAATAAAAGATACAGAAATGTACGTGTTATTTGTTTTCGTTTCGTGAACTCGATACTTTTTATCATGAAATTAATATATATGTATATATATAAAGTCGAATCGCACCTGTAGCGCTTCTCGGACAGTTTACTCTGAAGAAGTGATGGTTTCCCCAAACAATTCTATCGCCGTGTTGTAACAGAGTCTTATCTACGACTTGCGTGCCGTTAACAAAGCATCGAGCACCATTCAATGGCGTCATGTACAAAGCTGGTTCTTCTATCGTGATAACGCAATGTTCCGGTAGTATACCCAAACCGTGCAATTGAATATCCTGTTCTGTCTTGGCTGAACGACCGCCTACAAGAGTCCTTTCCTGGAAATTCAAACATATGCGACATGAATCTATTGAAACATAACAAACAACTAGAACACTATGCAATTGATAACATGTCCTACATACCTTGAGGTAATAAACCAATAACTCATTTAAACTTGGATCATCGTTTAAATTAACCAAGTAGTATTTATTCTTCTCTACTTGAATACCAGACGCTTGTACGCTTATTCCCATCTTTTCGAGAGCTTGCTGCCTCTCGTGTTGCAATCTTTCGGTCTTCACTAGTTTCTCCTCCCATGTCTGTGACATTTCCTTCATCAATTTTTCCGATTCCGATAGCTTTTCCGTAATATCTGTGCGCTGTTGACCGACGATTGATCCCTGAGCCTAATTAATCAAGTGCGTACATTATAATTATTTTTAAATTTAGGTAAGAGTTTATATGTACATACAGATGTTAACACCCTGTATATATAATCAAATACAAAAGTTCTCTTACTGTGGCGTGCAACAACATTTCCTTCAAGGTTTCAACTTCTTGTCTGAGTTCACGAATAATTCTGGCATTAGGATCCTCGTTAACCACGGCATGATTGACTATCCTCTTCGCTCTATCGGCATATCGAAGAGTTGATAACGTTTCTTCGTAATTGTCCGCAGCCGGCGATATAGTGGCTACCATAACAGTTTTGCTATTACCACCAAGATTATCCTAAAAAAATAGTGAGATGTATCCAAGAATCGAAAAGAGACGCAGACAGATAAGGAAAGAGAAAGATATACCTTCAAGAGCCAAGTAAGAACCGAATCTCTGTACGGTACAAAATTATCCTTCTTCTTGTTGTTGTTGATGGAGTTCTGATCCGCCAATTTTGAAATGACTAGACCCAACGTCGTTAGGGACCTATTAATAAATTAATCCCAGTTATACTTTTCACACGTTCTCATGCTGAGGGTGAAAAAATGTTCTCTCCACAAGATTCGAAAAAATGTATTTACTTGTTAATATTGCTTCCTTCTTTAAGCCTATCGCCCACTGCTCCAGTTTTCACAGCCCTTTCGCTCCCAGCTAAATCCACCAAGCTCATCCGCGAGACCTTTTCTCCGCTGACCCCGCTTTTCGAATCCGTTAGAGTCTGCGTAAGGATTACCGAGAATACGGCATGCGAACGAGAGCTCTCAGAATTCATATTCGTCGCAGCCACCGTCCGCGACTTGTTGCCCTCCGCCATGAGATTGTCGATATCCTATTCGCGATTGAACACGGAACGAATGAATAATATATATATATATATATATATATATATATAGAGTGTTCCAAAATTAGACCGATTTCAAGTAGGTTATAAAGGATCAAACAAGCCAATTTAGTCAATAAACCCATTACTGCAAATAAGCCGTTGGCATTAATGATTTTTTAAGTAAGGTATACTTTCTTCTTTTCCATTATATCTAGCTTCCATATAAATCGAATACATATTATCGGCCATCTCTTCATAAGGAAACTTATCCATTTCGAATATAAATTTCGACTAAATAATAATTAATACTAAGTGTAATGTTGAATGAATACTCAATGCTGTAATACTGAGCTTAGTTAGTCAACAATATCTTATTTAAACAATGATAAATAATGTTAAACAATGCTAAACAATGCTAATCAATGCTCTACATGTTATATCAAACAATATTTTAGTCTCTAGTTCTCTAGTGCCAAAATGGCTCATTTGCAGACATTTATTGACTGGTTTATTTTGATATAACTGGTTTATTTTGATATCCTTTATAACTTCAAAGTTTGTCTGTCTAATTTTACAACATTGTATATATTATTTAAATTTGAAAGACATAATCCAAAAGTGATAATGGTTCAGGACGAGACAGTCACCTGAAAAGAAGTGACCGCCAATTGACTGAGTCCATCCACATAGGGTCCTAGAACATTGTGCTCTCTGACTTTGAGCGATTGCTTATTCGGCTTTGGATCCAAGAGATCATGCACCTTCTCATTGTAGATCTCCATATATGAGACCTCGACCTTGTACGTGAGCTCGGAACTTTGCTGTTTTGCTATCATATCAAAGAGATTGTCGCACAAGCGTGGTATTATCCCTTTGTTGTCGCCACTGCCCATCATCGTATAAGACTTTCCGGAGCCTATAAGGATGTGCGAAATACGAATTAAATCCGATTTGTTGGTTGGGAGTGAGCCTCCAAATGTTCATAAAAAATATAATAATGTTTCAAACGTGCAAAATCCTATATTTTTTGTTATCCTTTCGTGTCTCGCTTACTATAGAGTGCTATATAAAGAACTTATATTATTGTTGTTTGTGACACTTTGTTTTGCCTCATCGTAGGTCAATGCCTCGTCCCAGGGAAAATCAACTGTTTATCGATGAGACGACCCGCTCAATCGGCTAATTGCATTATTTGCCGCATTACTCTCTGCTCATATTTTGTTTCGACTGTCGCACCATTTTTAACGCGCCACAGTTTTTTTTTTTTTTAATATTTTAATTTAAAACCCCTAAATTACCGCAAAAGTAACAGCTAAAGTATTGTAATATTTCAACTAGAATATACGTACCGGTTTGTCCATAGGCAAATATACAGGCGTTGTAACCCTGAAATGCATTGTCCAAAATATCACGACCCAGGGCATCGAAAACGACATCTTGACTTGCAAAATTTTCCGTTCCAGGTTCCAAGGAGTAAAAACAGTGGTCGAAAGCGAAAGTTTTCGGCTTGTTTCTGCAATATAAAATAATAAAATAAATATCGTTATATAAAATCTCTCTCGACAAGAATAGATTATACGTCGAAACACGCGGTCATGTGTCATGTCAAGAATGTCATGTTTCATAAAAATCAAAATAGTTTTCCTATGTCAAATATCATTTCCCCTCTGTGCTATCAGCAAAAATAATCGCATAGCAATGGCACATTGTTATTGATTTTCAGTCACATCTCAACTTCAATTAGCTCAGAAAAAAGAGAAGAAAAAATAAAACTCTACTTTCCCTACATATATATATATATATATATATATATATATATATATATAAATTGATTGAGAAATGAAAGAAATATATCTTAAGCTTTAATAATATAATATAAGTATATTATATTGTAATAAAATGTTACATTTATAAAATATATTTTATATTTAATTTATATATATATATATATATGTATATATATATGTGTATATATATATATATATATATATATATATATAGAGTGTCCTATTTTTTATCTTAGCCACTTCCCTCTAAAACTTTCATTTTTAAGGGGATCCCGGATGATCTTTTTACCGACCGAATGCGAGAATATTTATTTTTTTCATATAACTTTTTATTGACTATACTGATCAATAAATCCTTTTCCACAATTAAAGTACTTATAAAAACGGACCGCGCTAGCTATGTTTGCATATATAAATCATATAAAAATCAAAAATTACAATTTTGTTATCGGCTGCTTTGTGTCAGTTCGTAATAATACTTACTTAATAAAAAAAGTTCTGCAGTTTGTCTGTGCATGAAATATAGTATGCGCAGTAAGAATAATATGAAGAATTATTAGTAAACGATTAAAAGTGAGATTGCAAGTCTAATAAAAAAGTTATATATTAAAAACATTTTTACGCGTATGTGTTGTATACGTGCATATGTTTAGATATGTGTGGTGCTAACCTATCATGTGTATATGTGTATACGTGCATATGTTTAGATATGTGTGGTGCTAACCCGTCGGAGTTCGGCCAACGCTCCGGCATCACCTTAATTGTAAAACAAAATGCTTCAAACAAAAATTGTTTGATTTGCAGCAGGAAAGATAATGGCGCTACTGACGTTCTTCTGAAGAGCGCTTTTCAAGGTCATTTAAAAATCTTTTTTTTTTAGATGTAACTACCATAATTTTTTATATAAATAAATTTTTCGCAATTTTCGGTATAAAAAATTATAACAGTAAGATGACCAAAAAGTGAATAGTCTATAAGATATTTTATATTTAAATTTAACATAAGTTTACATAAACTATAAAATATTTATTTTTCGATAATCTTTAATATTTTTATGCATAATAATGAAAAAAATCAATTGGTGTAAAAAAACAGTTATTTGAAGAAAAAATATATAGTTGCAAATTACATACTTTTTTCTTCTAAGTATCCGTCTTTTGATCTCCTTCAATCAAATAACTTTTGTCTGAAGCATTTTGTTCTACAATCAAAAATAAAATTTTTTTGGGAGAGGGGAAAGCGGGGGTAAATTAAAACAGGACATACTTTTTGGATTATACATACTTTTTATAATTTATTTACACGAAATATTAAAAAAATCATTTAAGAGTCATTTTTATTGAAAAAGTTATAAAAAAACATCGAAGATTTGATTAGTGGCGTCGTAGTATGCATATTTAAGGATAACTTGGATAATAAATGTCATTTAATAAAAATGTGTGTAGTAATTTATGTATGTGAATAAATAAAACTTTGCATGAAAGCGACACGACCGACAAATAGTGATTCGCATATCGATCGAATTCGCAGTATCGTGTCCGAGTATGAGTCACGCACAGTAAATGTGCGAAGGATTCAAAGTAGGTTGGACACCATTGTACCATGTACAGAATAAGATCTTTGACATAATGCACACACACACACACATACACACATCTGATGTATAACTTATTACACAATTTACACATACATATATTATCTATTAACTATATATTTTAATTATTTATTATATTTTATTATATTCTTCCTTGAATATACTTTAGCATTTTATTTTCGCGCGAATATCGCACAAACTGTCGCAGCAATATGATAAATAATAGAAGATTAATAATGAAAGAAATTAATAATAGAAAAAATAATAATGAATAATAATTGATTAGAGAAGCAATTATGAGACATTCTGTGTAATTGAACGATTTCGCGATTACCAAGAACAACTTTGTTCAGCTTCAGATGCAGTGTATATTGCGATGCGGAAACTTGTGCAAAGAAAATAATGTGGTTGTTGTGGCAATGGCCGGTCTTTCTTAAATGAAGGAAGAAGCAACCGACTGGTCATCCCGTAATGCGACGGTATCCCCTCTTCACCTATTCAAATTACTTCTAGTATACATATATATAATAAATACGGGCACCTTATTTTTAAGTGTGACCTTCGACACGCAAGGCTCTGCGGAGCTCGAATATTAAAAACAGCGTCTGCAGCTGATGTTCGTATCTTGCTTAAACACTGCAAGTGCAAATAAAACCTTAATCATCGCGACCGCAATCTCCGATTTTTAAAGTTGTTTCAGTCTACTTGATCAACTGATAATAATAAACCGAGCAATCTGTTGGAATATCATCCTCCAGCTTTGTATACTCCGATATTGATTTGAAATACTCTTTTTAAGATGCATCTTGTAACATTTTCATATTGCGACAACGTTTATAAGGATTAATTTTGCAATATATCACATAAAATGACCGCTATCAGGTATTGTATGTTAGACGTTCAATAATGTTAGAACCATGAGAACGCAGTTTTAGTGAAATGAAAAAACTCGCTTTTTCATATGCGAAGAGATATAATCTCTTGAAACACTTTTCATTTTAGGAAAAATGCTATTTCCGGGATCTCTCAATTTAATAGGTATTTGAAATTTTTTGCCGAGAAAGAGAATGTCGCAAAAAAACTACAATGCTCTATATAATCAATAGTTTTCGAAATATTGACGTTTCAAAATTTTAATTGTTTTTTAAATATATTAAGATTTCAAAATGTTTAATAAAAGGTTATTTTCACAGAGATTTTTCGTCAAATCCTAACCTTTTAATCTAATCAGAAAGGTTAGAATTTTTTCAAGGTGGAGGAACCTTTATTTCTCCCCCGCTCACACTTCTGTTTCATATGCACACCTAACTAAATTCTTATTATTCTTAATACAGTAAAATATACATATATATATTAGAAATAAACGGGCTATAGGAAAATATACATATATTATCATCAATTGTTATGGCGATAGTATTGCCGTTATTACGACTAAAAATTACGGTTTTATTAAAAATCGATAACTCGACAAATATAGGAATGATAGCACATTGTAATTTACGGTATTTTTTGATAAAAGATTCTATAAAAATGACCTATCAAATATTGAAAAGTTCCAAAGACAACATTCTTGCCGTCATTTTCCTTGCATTTTTATATCATAATTTAATATTAAATAGTGTAGCAATCATTGCAATGTAGTAAACTTAAACAAAGAAAATTTTCTGGATAGCAACCTACATGTATTCGTTCTTGGAAATGTGCAGAAGTTAACCCGTGTAATAGCTGGTGACCTCGTGTTTAAATTCAGTTAAATAAATTTCTCGCAAAAGGTACGCTACGTAAGCTTGTTTCGTATCTTATCGCGAACGATTTATCCTTCATAGTACACACAATCGAGACTTTCCATCAATAGTGGTTCAATGGTACAAAAGTGTCTAGTTATACCTTTTAAAGTATCGTAGTAGTTCTCGCTTAAAATACTCGGAACGATTGTATTTTTAATGATAAAGAAATTTAGTCGAGAAGCTATTTTTAGGTCACAGTAAGTTACATGTTTCGGAAAAAAATGTCAAAAATAATAGCGATAAATTCTATTTAATAGCATGCGGGCTGCAATCTGAGACTTTGACTTTCTTCGATCGCATTCGACTCCGTTTTCACTGAACGGCGATCGATAATAGACGACAAAGTCCACGCACCCAAGTCTACCTGATTATTATAAGGAAAGTATAGTAGGGCAACTGTATGCCCGCATAATATCTAGATTATTGCACGTTACTAAACAATGCAGAAGAATGACGGCGAATGCGCTATTGCGCATCTCTCTCGCGAAACAATTCAAAAATAATATTTCCATATATATTTTTATTGCATTTTGCGGTCATGTTCTTTTTTCTACATCCTTTTGTTAATCTTCTAAAATCCATGAATATTATTATTATTATTATTTACGGAATTATCTATATATGTAATTTCTATCATTTTATCTGTAGCTGTTCAGATCGCAAAGTTTTATGTGAAAAATTGTACAAAATTTTACGATTCCGAGTCCTATAATTCCTAAACTTAAAATTATTTTTAGACGTTCTAAGTTTGACTAAAAAATTTTGGAAGTCCTTCTACCGATATATATGATTTTAAGAAATTTAACTTTAGTCTTTAATCAAGATTCTTTTCATAACACAGTTAATAAATTGTTGACAAATTCTACGAGAATAGAAAAAATTGAAATTTCTTATTGCTTGAACCTCACATATAAACTAGGTCTCGATTATAAATTTCAAAAGTCCATTATTAAATGGACCTGCGCGCACAGTGAGAAAGACAAAATTGTGTAAAAATGTATGAATAAATAAAAGTAATACGTAGAAAAATTCTGTTTCTCTCGTGAATTATTCTACACACATATATTAGAAGGTATCTTTTATCTTTCATTTAATTAAAATCTTTGAGATGCGATTCGTGAATCAGAAGGATTAGATTTAGAAGGATTTCTCTTTATTCAAGCTCAAGCCACGCCCTCAATCTCTTGATAATAAAAGATTATCATAGAAGGATTACCGATAAAAAAAGATACTTGCATTATCGTTTCTCTTCTTCTCTTTCTTTCTCATTTAATTTTAAGCAAATTGTAGAGTCACTGAAAATTAAAATATTTGATTTCCCGTTTATATATTCATGGCAAAAGGA